CAAAGGCACCYGCTGCTGTTGCCTGTTGCCTGCATGAGTTTGCTTGTTCTTCCCTGGGCAGGAGGTAGCACTGCTGGGTGCCYGGTGTGGTCTTGGAGAAGGCTTGGGAGTGGGAATCCTGCAAACAAGTCCCTGGGAAGATGCTGTTGGTGCCAAGCAGGGTGAAACCAGTGCTTCCCTTTGAGTCCTTAACTCCTAACAGGGGGTCCCCATCCTAACAGTTCAGCTCTTTTCCATGGGGAAGCACCACTAGTGGCCCCACGGGGGCCTCCCTAGGGTATGTGGGAGACGAGTAGCCCCCCCAAAATGCTGCCATTCCTCCCCATTACTGCTTTGCCGTGACTCTTACAGACGAGGAACATTTTCTTTAACAAGTATGAATCTAATGGATTAGGTCTGATCTAATTATGCATTCTGCATTAAGCCAACGCTCCCACTGTCTGCGGCTGCTGGCATAATTAAACTTAATGTACTTTTAATGATGTCTTCTTAACTCATGCATTCATATATGATTAGAATCAAACAGGACGAGCTGTCACGAGTCCAGGAGAGCTCTTTCAGCAGTTCCTGATGGGGCTCATGTTGAAATATTAACAATGCGGATTCAAAGGTTAACACCATTGGTTTTGAAGTGGGGAAAGCCTGTCACACAGTTTGAGTTAATCTGAGGCAACAAAACGGCTCCCCTTTCGAGCTTCGGTTCTTCCTGTCCTAGGCACGTGCTCCTGAGACCAGGAGAATTTAAGTTTTACTTTGTAAAGATGAAAGTAGCWGTGTTTGGAAGCTCTGGGCAGCAGCCAAAGAAGCTGGGGTGATAGCTGTGGGCACCTTTGGAGCAGTTTATGGGGCGTTTTCTGTCCTGGAGCACCCGTTTTTCCTCTTATTTCCTTTCCTGCTGCTTTTCTTTGCAAATGGAAGCTGTTTGTGCTAGGACTCAGCAGAAAGAAGAGAAGCTGAACTTCAGTCTGGCACTCAATGGAGTAAAAGTGGGCTGGGTCCCCCTGTCCCAGGCACCTTCAGCTTGAGACAGCACCTTGGCCTGGGCACCGTGCTCCCTCGAGCTGTGCACTTGAGTCTGTGAGTCTGTAAGAAAGAGGCTCTCAGCACTTCCCCAAGTTTACCTTGGTATTTTGGTATTTTGGTATTTTAATACCAAATTTGAAAAGACTTTTATTCGAGTACTTGAATGAAGGACCCAGTTCTATCCTTCAGTGCTATCCATGGGGTAAGCAGGAACTATTTTAGCATTTACTGCCTTGATGCCAGAGTCCTTCATGCATCAGGTAACAATGCTGCAATTAAACCTGTTTGTTTGTTTTTCCTACTTTTTCTAGAAGAGCTTTTTCATCGGCCGGTGGCCTAGCAGCCAAGTTGTCTTTTGACTTCCTGAGAGCAAGTTGTGAGATTGCCTGAAATCCTTCCAACAGGAAAGCATTGATTTATTACGCTGTAATACTGATACGAACAACACGGTGTACCTTTCATCTGAGAAGTCAGGACTTATAGAACACGACATGCCATTAATTCTGATGCCAGCTACAACAGAGGAGGAATTACTGCCAAAGGGATCCGGAGAGCATGTTAAACCATCCCTGCAGAGTAATGAACATACTTTGTGGTTGTTACATTATACCATATTGATCCTTAGGAATCAAAAGGTACCTTGACAGCTAATTTGGGCCATCAAAGGCTCTTGTTAATAACTGCACGAACATGTGTGTGTACCATATAGTTAGTGCATGAGGAAGAGATGCGYAAATAGGAGCTCGTTAAGCATCTCAATATCCCTGGAGGGGAGAATTTCTGTGTTTTGCTGCTCTGGAGATAGCTCTGCTGTTGTGCATGCTGGCCAGGGAGCTCCCTTGGGACGTGCTTGCAGGAGGTGAGGACCATGTGAGGTGTCCCATGGTATTTGCACTGCGCTGTTCCCTGCTGTCCCTGCTTTTTCCCCTGGATAGAAGCAAGGTGCTGCACAAGGCTGGTGCTGGAAGAGCGCTCCTGCCCACATGCCCTTCCTGCATCCACACTACCTTCTGCCTCATGCCCGCCAAAAGCACATTGGTTTTCATCGGTTCTGTAGCGCTCCTCACCTCTGCCACCCCTTTTCCAGGGAGCCTGGTACAGCTGGGGCYCTGCACTGTGCACGCTCTCGAGCACAGGGCTCCATGCTCCCCAGTGCAGCATGAGGGGTTACCGGATGCCTCATTCCCTGAGCAGAGCTGCAGCTCCAGCTCTGCTGCCATTGCAGGGGAAGGGGAGATCATCTGCTGTCTGAAGCTATGCACTGATGGGGRGTTATCTGGGGTAAGGCAACCCCTGTGTGCATAGCCAGGGTCTGCTCCAGGCTGCTTTTCCAGCTGTGAGCACATGGACTTCATGGCTTGCATGCACTCAGGCCAGAGGGACCACATTCCTGGAAAACAACAGAGTGGCTCTGCAGAAGGAGCCACCTGGGAGGGGGACATCTCAGCAGCGAAGCCCTGGTGACACCGTGGTAGTTTCTGTGGAGCCGGAGCAGCTCTGGCACCTCCCGAGCCAGGCTCTGTGTGCGGGTTTTGTCCCCAACAGCCGTGTCTGGCCGCAGGTTGGTGGGTCACTGTGTGACTTCCTTAGGTCCCTGCTACTTGCTGTTGACCAAGTGGGCACAGGAGATGCGGGTGGCTGCCCCACTGCCTTGGGGCAGTGACAGAGTTTTGTACTGCTTTTGTCAAGGCATAAGGGAACATTTCTTATGCTGGGAGGCAAGAGTGAACTGTGGAGCACAAATAGTGTTTTTAGGAAGGATCTGGRCCCCCCACTGTGGCACTGGTTGCCTAGGGTGGGTGTGGAAGACCAAAAATGGGTTGATACATCATCACCTGCCCTTGAAAACGTTCCCTGCAGGCCACGTGTGCTGGGAGTCTCCTGTGCTTCACAGCTGAGTGTCCCCTTTCAAAATGTCTTAATTCTGCCCCTTGCTGACCCTATCTTTAAAACCTTACCAGTAGGTAAAAAAACCTGAACACTGGAGACCTGGATGTATGAGCACTGCCCTGCGGGGAGAGCCGGGATGTCTCATCCAAGGCACGTGGATGTCTCCATCTCCCCGCTGCACAACGGGATGTGACACAGGCAAGGGAAGTCCTCGGGTCTGTGACACCCAGTCCTGCACAGCTGCGTGACATTAATGATGCAGGTAACCTCGGTAGCCGTCAGCATCTGCATAAACGGCCACTCATCTCCTTTAAATCACACTCTCCTTTCCACTTAACAGACTTCTTGATGAGAATTTTAGCAGCCTAATTGTGTGAAAAATGAATTAGAAGTGGCTGAAACGCCCCAGCTGCTAGAACAGCACGGCAGCTCCTAGGAAAGCCAGTACGGGCGGGGATTTTTGGACCAGTGCTGGTTCGGAGTAGTGGCTGAGCTCACTGAATCCTCCCTCTGAAAAAAACAAGCTAGAGCCCTCAAATAGCCCTCCTTGAAAGTGAATCCCACAAAACTCCAAACGAGAAGGCAAACCCTTCACTTTGAGCCCAGTGAATACTTCGTGTCCTGACTCTTGGGTAAATACTAGATAGATTCCCAATTTCAACCTGAAGCAGTTTATTTGGCTGCTGTTCACAAGTCAGACACAGCAATAATCAAGGAAACCTTGTTTGATTCAGGTTGGCTAATATTGCCTGAGGGGTAACATGATTTTCATTTCCACACATCCAGCACTGGCACAAAACGGCATGGACAGGTATTGAAAATGGTTCATGGATCCTTGGTGCTAAAATTCCAGCTGGTATTTTCATTTTTGTGTAAATAATAAATACCAAAAAAAAGATTGAAAAAAAAGAGAATGTGAAAAAAAAAAAAAAAGTATTGCTGAGTTTGACTAAGCAAATCCTTTGCAGTACTGCCAAAGAGAAAGAAAGAAAAAGAAAATAATAAAAAAAGAGTTAAAACAAATATAGCTGTTAAATAAAAGATCCAGGTACCAAAGAGCAAAATTTAATGAAAGCCAAAACTGTTAAATATGGATTCCTGTTGAGAAAAAATGTCAATGTCTTTAAGAGTTTTACCATTACTCTATTTTTAAGAAAAGTGTAGTAAAAATACATATTACAAGATAACATTTTCCCACGCTTTTGTCCCATTCCTCTGTTTTTCTCTGTTTCTGATCAGGAGCCTTTGCAGGGCACTCCTCACGTCTTCATGCCGCAGGCGGCCAGTCCTGTCGCAGACGCGCTGCTCCCCACGCGGCCGGGCTCGCCGTGACCGGCATCGAGGGACRTTGAGTCTCTGGAGGCTGACGTGGGTCTCGGCAGCCTTCTCCCGCTGCAAGCCCTGGCAGCGTGGGGACAGGGCAGGGGACGGGGCCGTGGACGTGCTCGGGGGTCCGGGTGCGGAGGCAGGCTTGCTTTCAGGATGCCTCCATCACGCGAGCGCTTACACAGAGCTGAAGTCGAAAATAGGAAAAGAATGGATTAAAACTAATGCTGGTCAACACAAGGTGGCCTGAAGAGCTGTTTGGAGTGGGTGATGACAGTGCTCGTGTTGGGAGGTGAGATGGAGATCACAAAGCCTTCCAGTGATGGGGAGAGGAAAATGTATTGGCACGAGACATGCTGTGCCTGAGCTTTAGACCTTGATTCTTTGACTTGCTGGTCTCCAAAAAGCGCTCGTAGGACGAGTGGTTAAACGGAACAGATACTTCAGACCAGGCTGGTGTTAAAGGTGGGAAACATATTGCTCTGCACAGACAATTGTACACTAATGGAAAGTGGTATGCAGACTGCTTCTAGCCATACTTATGGACAGCCTCATAGGCGGATCTTCTTTGTAGGCCTGTGCCACCATTTGCCTGCATGACTTTCTCTTCACCTGCCTCCTTTTCCTGCTCCTCACTTGCTACTTTGCACTTTCTGGTTGCAGGAAAAAAAATAAAAAAAAAAAAAAAAAAAAGGAAAAAAAAAAGCAGCTCAGAACCGTCCAAATAGCAGCTCCGTCCCCAGATGAATCTGTGCTGGATCTTGTGAGAAGCTTCAGACTTTATTTGCCACCAGCAATGGACCTGTGAGATGGGACAGTGGAGAGCAGGTCAGCTGCAGTCCCTGCCCCATGGATCTTCTGACTTCAGGTGCTGTCCTGGGACCCCGTCACTGCTGGGGAGGTGCCTCACGCCCACTGGGAAACACTCATCTGTCCTGTCAATGATTCACAGAACGAACCTTTTGGGTGGTCCCAGAACACCATCCTCGCCCCTCTGATCTCCACGCCTGCACCTGGATTCCCAGCTGCCCATCCAGCCACGCAGGTTTTTGCAATGCTGAGTTTAGGATCAACAATCTGCTTTTCTGGTGTGTGACTGCTTCCCCCTCCCTGCAGAAACATGAGCGAGAATCTGCTACTTTTGGCTTTGTACCCAAAGTACAGGCCACATTTTTGACTGGGGAGCCAAGCCTGATCAGCTCCAATGCTATTGACATGGATGCTTGAATCAAGCCCTCCTTGGATTTCCTTGTGGTTCTTTCCAGGAAGCCGTCTTGGCCAAATATCTACAAAACGTCCCTTTTAATTAGAAAAAATGGGCAAAGAAGGTTTTCAGAGCAAAAAGGCAGGGATATTCCCATTGCAGCCCCATGACTTCTAGCATGTTTAACTGGTTAATAGGCAGCCATCTAGAAGTGGATGCTCTTGAGATGGTCTGTTCCCAGCTTGAGGTGGTTCCCTCATGTGACCATCAAAATGGGAGCACACACAAAGCTAAGCAATGAAGAAATGATTCACAATTGCTTATTGGCTCCCAGTGACCCAGGCAGGAGAGTTTCTTGTGATGGGAATGCTGCATTTACCTTCTCTTTTCCATAAACAGCAGCCTGTAACGATCTTAACCAACCATCTACTCTAGTTTGTCATGGATGAAGCTCTCCATGACACGAGTCTTCTCCTGAATGGCCACTCATCATCTCTGGAAGAATTATCACTCTGTCTTCAGGTTACCTGGGATTTCCAAACTCACTCTTGACTTTGCCCCTATAAAATAGCCTCATGTTTCTGTTCAGGCTCTTTTTTTGCATCAAGTCCCTCCTTTTGCAGGGAGAGCTGTTCTCAGCTCTTTCTGCCTTGTTGCAATAATTCTGCATCTGAGTTCACAGAAGAACTGAAGGCAGAACCACGATGGACAAAAGGGGTCAGTGCTGATACCCTGCAGGGAGTTCCGCTCTCAATTTATCAGATTTTCTTTTTGCTGTTAGTAGCTCAGACATTATGGTTTGCATCCCAAACTAAACCAGATTAAAGGGCTGAGCAGGGAAAGGGGAAAGGGCTGATGTTACCCTGACACCACAGGAATTAGTAAGAAAAAAWATATATATTGCACACACTAAGACTTATTAACAACCAAGTTAAAACAAAATGGCATAGTCCTCATTAGTGTTCCCGTGGTTCTCCAGTCAGGGACGGTTCATGAGTCTGTTAAATCCCATTACGTTCTCCTTATTGCAGTACAGAGCTGTTGCTGTTCTCCTGCCGGTGGATCTGTTTGCAAAATAAAAAGGGAAATAGATTTGATTTCCTTAAGAAGATCCATCCAATTGTCCCTTCTGTCATCGTCATTTGTCTTGTTGGTGTTGGGTTTGTTTTTGGCTCTGGAGGGGGTGGAGTTGGGCTGCCCCTGCTCTCACCCAGGCAATGGGTCAAAAGGCCAATTATAATCCCGTTGCTCCCAGGGACATGCCGGTGCTGTGGCTCATGCACGGAAGCGTCTGCATGGATTTGTGGAAATCGTGGCTGACCACACGTCCGTTCTCTCCGCTGCCTCCCGCTGCAGCCGGCCTGGGAAGGGTTGATGTCCGTATGGCTTCGTTGATTGATTGCTGTGGGATTAAACAAAAACCCTTTTAGGCAGGACGGGGGGGTCTCCCCCTGTCCTTAGCAATGTTGGAGAAGTTGCAATGTAAAGCACTGGTGTTTCTCTGTGACTGCTCTCTCCCTTCCTGCCTCTAACATGCTCCTGCTTGTTGCATGTCCCTACTGCAACTGCTCTGTTAATCTGCACCTCTTCTAGATTCAAAAATAAAATTTTCAGCAGTATTTTGGGAGCAAAATACATATAGCAGGAAGCATATAGCAGGAACTACTCAAAACCTCTACAAACGTAACAACAGCCATACTGGATCAGATCAGAATTATTATATTCACTTCCCCTATAGATAGGCAATTGCTAYTCCAATATTATTACGGTGGGCTCTGACTCACTGTGAGCATATGTTCAACTTCCCTCATGTGAGAAGCTGAGCATGTGCCTATGGTTTTGTCTGCAGTAATGAATGACGTAACCAGGAAATGCAGACCTAATTTAGGAATCCAAATCTCATCTTCCTGTTCCAGATACTGTCCAAAAGTTTTGCCTGCTTTTGGAGATCTATGAAAAACACTCACTTAGAAAAATTTAACTAACAGATCAAGCCCTTTGTTTTTTGTTCTTCCTCTTAAGGTACCTCTTAAGGTACCTCTTAAGGTACCTTTGATGGACATGGTAAATGGTTTTGGGGAGAGACCAACCAAGTCAAGGGGGCCAGCTTAGACCAGACGCTAGTGTTGGGGGAAATGGTTCTCCCTCCCAGCAGGTGGTTATAGCAGGACAAGAGCACCACAAACTAACATTTACATGGTTATTTGTGGATCATTTGGAGCAACACAGGWAACTAACACTGGGCAGCATCTGCTTAGGATTAAAACTAGAGAAGTATGGCATGCCAACTCTCCTGCTCTGGGTATTTGTGACATATCTAGCTTTTGAGAGTAGACAACAATTATAATTTAATTTTTTTTTATATTCAGGGACATTAATTGCACACGTTATCTTACCCCTGTGCTCAGTGTACCTTTCATCACTTGTAGAATTTTCTGAACCTCAATGGCAAAAGCTCTATTATATATTTTCAGTGAAYTGGAAAGTCGTTGTTGCTGATAAAACATGAAGTGTGCTGTGAAATGATGACATAAAGCCCAMGGAAGTGATTGTGATTTTTTTTTCCTGTTGGTACTGGGTAAATTTCAGGGCTTGGGAAAGTAAAAGATTTCACTAAACTTCAGGAAACTTACTTCRTACTCTGCATACTCTTATTAACTTCCATGCTCACAGGRATGGTCAAAGGGAGGAAGAAAGGGGATGCTGTTCTTACACAAATCCATTTGCAGCCTCATGCAGARCAGTAATGCCTTTGCAGGCATTGCAACTGCTAGTTAGCTGAGTCAAGATGGGCTCGTTGCCCAACTGCTTCATTAAATCTGTATCCCCAAGGCTCTCAAAGCTAATCCAGCCTCATCTTGACAGGGCACTCTGAAACTGAGGCACACCAAAAATTTAGGGTGGAAACAAATCTCTAGGATTTTAGGAACTACATTTTGAAAGATCATGACAGGATGGAGAAGAGGCCCACTGCAAGCAAGACTGATTTTCTTAAATAGGAGACCCTCATCAGGGCATTTCAGAGTCCCATTCCAGGGCATTTACTTGGGAAAAACTGTTCATCTGGAGCTAAAGGCCGGAAATCTGGTAAATGCTCTGGGCATCTAGCAGTGTTGCCTCCATGTAAATGGTGCCAGCAGGGTGCCAGCAAAGGGAACAGCAGGATGTGATTCATTACTGCACTACCCCAGTTTTATCTTGCTGTTATCTGCTTGGKKTTYTTTTTTTTTTTTTTTTTTTTTTTGCAGTAGCTGCTGTATGACAACAGCCCCAGCAGACTTCATCCATGCTGTGGACATGAACCGTGGTGGTTTGTTTTCTTAACTTTAAGCAATAGCATTATTTTCCTGCTACCATTGTGCTATGAGTCTGCTCTGTATCTGGATTTTGTACAGGAATTATGCCACACATCTCAATTTTGCATCTGCTACCAACTTCGGCACACTTGACCCTCTTGTAGCTTCCTCTGACGCTCCTATCCCTTTCTAACAAGTTATACGGTCACTTCATTATGCCTATATCTTGGCTTTCCAGCCATGGTCTGGGCTGCATCCGTCTCTGAAGGCAGCTTTGGAGCCGGGCTGGTATCAGAAAGAAGGTGTGAAAGGCCTGGGAATGGGTTGCCACCTTCATCCGCTTTGATTCACTTCTGGACTTGTAACAAAACTCGATTAAGGCAACCAGCATGGCTAGTCCGAGCCCACCGATGAGGATATAGAAAACCCCTGCCACATTGCTGAGACTCAGAGCGCTCGTCTTGTCCTAGAAGAAAAAGGAGAAGGGAGGAGAGGGAGGGCGTGTGGGGAAGAGAACAACAAAATTAATATGAGCTTGCTCTAGGAGAGACACTACACAACACAGCAAAGTTGGCATTACATCATCTCCCTCTATAATAGCTGACATTTGTAAGAGGTTTTTCRATTTTTAATTCAGTAGCTAGTAAATCTAATGTTTCTCTCATACAAAAAACCAAACATTTCTTCAGCAATGTGACACTCTGTAAAGGTTTGGGATCTCCGTTTTTCAATCATCAGATTTAAATGCTTATTTACTCAAAATGCCTAGTTTAAATTATTGATTAAAGGAGAGAAAAACCTCTGCCTCTGTGACATTTGCTTGTCCCTGATGTTTCACCTGAAATAACCCRTTCTCTGGGAAATGTTCATTCCCTCGTTCCTAGATTGTTTCCCCCGCATATTCTGTTGCTGAGCAACACATCAAAATGGTTGTTTTTCCTTATTTTTTCCCTCCAATATTGAAGTTGTGATACCTGGGATGTGCTCAGAAACTCATTTGATTTCTATGTAATAAGGTAGTTACTTCATGTGTAATCAAGACTCACTGATGCATGTCTAAGTTAATTATTTGGTTCTCAATAAATAGGGTTATTAATGGACAGCTCCTCGCAGTCRGCCCCTACGTTCTGATTTTACAATTGCCTAATGAATCCTCACGGCTCTCTGGGGAAGAGGCAAGTTGCAGCATGACTCACTTTTCCAGCAGGGAAACCGCATGCCCTCGTACTGCAGAGCTCTCTGCACTACCCTCCTTGACCAGGCACAGGCTGGGGCACTAGGATTACTTTGGGCAGAACCCCCAAGCTTGGCTCCTGGCATTAATCCTATTTTCTCTTTGCAGTGAATCCAGATGGAGGTTCCCTGTTCCTCCGTGCTATTACTTTGCAATATTGACCCAGGGGCTACCTGCTGGGCACAGGCTCTCCAGGGTAGGCACCGCATATGGGTGCGAAGCTCCTGGAGAGACCAGGGTTGGCCAGTGTTGTCAGTCCCATCCTTGGGCTTGTCCTCAACCACCAGGCAGGGAAAGGAGAATTGCGTGAAGATCATTTGAGGGCAGCCACACAGTYAAAGACTAATATTTATGCCTTTTCAAAGGTAACAAAGCCTCTATGAAGTTCTTCATGATCTCAGCTACTCCAAAGGCACATGGAGTGCTGGGTTGCACTGCTGGTTTCCTGTCCTTCTCGGACAGTCGATCCACTCATTTTTCCTTGGTGGGTTTTGCAATAAGAAACGCACACTTTTCAGGAAGGGCAAGGCTTCAGGAAGCAGAAAGATAGTGTGGAGCGATGTCAAAACAACATGAGAGGGTCAAACACTGAACAGGAACGTGAGCACGGAGGGTTTCGGTTCAAGAGCTCTCCATCTGGCAGTGTGCTGGCGGGCTTTCGGGCAAGTACATTTGGCAGAAGCATTCTGTCTTTTGGAGTATAGGGTTCACTGATGAAAACCCCAAAGCACAAAAACTTTTCAAGTTTCAAAACTAAAAAGAAAAAAAATAAATAAAAATAAAGGCAGTTGAAAAGGACTTATTTTTGTGTTTTTTCTTTCTTTTTATAGGAAAAGAAAAATAGAAGATTCCATATTAAAATGCTAGACAAATGTTTTTCATTACTTTCCCTTCTGCCCAGCTGGAGCACTCACTGCAATCCATGCTGAATCCTTTGCTGAAAAATGCAGCATTTTGATCAGAGGTCACCCCTGCGGAGCTTTGGTCGCTGGCAAAACCTGTGCGAGTGATTTGCCTTTCCATGCTTGCTTGACTGCCGTCTCTGCTAAGAGATTCACAGCTCTCACCAGTGCGTTACTCCCCTATAAACATGATGGGTTCCACGGGTGGACAGGTTTGGTTTGCCTTGGGATAATCTTTTCTTGCTGGTCAGTCTGTAATCTTGTYGATGCGTCTGATGTGCTCTCTGTAATGAGTGGATTTTGCAAATACCCTCTTAGTTTCTGCAGCTGCCATATCTGAAGGATTATTTATCTGGTCTTTTATAATCTGCCTTCATGCATTTTTCTCCTAGTCTTGACTGTACCTTTGTTCAGCCGTCTCTTCTCTGCAGATTACTGGGAGTCACTTTTAAGAAGTTGCTGAAACTTAAGGAGGTTTTTAGCAAAGATTTAGTAAAGCAGAGGTATTACTTTCAGAAAACTGGGTTACAAGATATCCTGTACCTTGCCTCTTCAGATTCAGAGGCTGAAGGGGCTGTATCAGCTTGAGGGTAGACGGAGATGGTAGAAATGGGCTACCTCCTTGACATCCCAATGTCATGTCYGGCTTTTTAAAGAAAGTGTCTTTTGAGCAGGTTTGGGAGAAGGATGGGGACAGGGAAGGAAACGCCCATTTGTCAGCATCTTACTGTTAATTTTAAGCCCATATATTCAACTTGAATTTGATAGAAGGGTGGAGACTTCCAAGATATCAGAGCCCCCAAGTTTTGTGAAAAAAGGATGACAAGGTGGAGAAATCATATTAGTGTTCTCCAGGAAATAAATGCACTGGCTCAATCCTCACTAAGCATCAGAGAACTCACATGGGCATCTCCACATGCTAGCCACAGATTCCTGGGAAACCTGGCTCCCTGGGCTCTTTGCTCAAGGGAATACCTGGCTTTRGGCTTTTGCTGGCCACGATACTTCTGTATTTCGGTCCCCGGTTTGGGGGTACTCTCAGCCAGCTGTAGTGGCAGGGAGATCTGGCAGCTAGGAAAGGCTGCTATTTATTTCCTCTTTCCCCTATATACCKGTGGAAAATTAACCAACAAGCGAGAGGAGATCATCTAAAGCCACTTCCTGCTCCTACATTTCACACTATTAATCTTTAAGCTGTCGCATTTGTGTTGCATTTGATTTGAAGTGGCCTTATTATTATCATCCTCATTATTATTATTAATGCGACAATTCAGGTGAAATGAAAGTTGACTCTTTGAGCAGTGAGAAAGGCCAAGGAAAACATCTGTTCGACATGGCACAGCAGTGGGCAAGCCTGCCAGAAAGGAGAGAACAGCCTATATTTCACTCCACCACCATAATAATTTGTCCCCCAGGGAACCTCCGTTGTGGGAAGCTAGAGGATAAGGGCAGCTTCAGCAGGGCACTGCAAAACACAGGAATACAGGGGCGCCCTGATGGCAGATCTAGTTATCATGATCCAGGCTGAGAAATGAAATTGTGGGGGTGCTTAATTTTTCGTCCATGTTTTCTTTTCCTTTTCTGTCTTGTTTCCTTTCATCTCCCGGTGGCTGAGGGACCAGACAACAAGGCGAGGAACCGATGCATGACTTTTTCTGCTCTTCCAATGCATATTCCTGGCTTAACAGTATGCAAAATAATACAAATAAATATCCCAAATCTGTGCTTACTGCCGGCCCGTTCTCCAACCTCCCCTGCTCCCTACTGGAGCTCGGTGGCACGAGCGGCTGTGGCGCGGAGCGGCCCATCGCCGAGCCAGCTTGTTAGTGGGAGTGTAAATGTCAGCGCTCGTCTCCCGCAGCGGCGCAGCGCCGACGTGGGGGGAAAGATTGGCAGGTGATGGGAGAAGGAAAAACCCATCGCTCCGAACGGAACGCGCAGCCTTGTTGCCACAGCAACGGGGCACCTTCCCATCTGCTCCTCTCCAACGGTGCCACGGGGTCTGTCCTCCTGCTCGCTGCTATTTATCCTCCTCGGGTGACGGGCAATGAGGGCCACTTGCCCTCTCGTCCCCTGCACAGCAAGAGCCCTTCTGTAGCAGGGATTGATGGTGCCTGGAGCTGTTACGGCCTCCGGGGGCCTGCTGAGAAGATGAGCTGCCTGGAGAGGAGGTGATGGCCACAGGACGCTGTAGGAGTTGAGGAGCTTTTACGGCCAACGATGTGCTGACTTTCTCAGGGGAAGGTCTGAAGCTCGGTGATGAAGGACATGGTGGATARGGCTCCAGCAGGAACTGACACATTTGGGGTGAGAATCAGTCAGGTCTCKGCAAAGGCAGGGCAGAGCGGTAGCGAGATTTGATGCTTTCCTCTGGCTTTCCCTGCTTTTATTGATCTTTTAATAGAAGTCCAATTCTTGCCAGTGGCAAAGAGGAGCAGGGGATGTCCACGGCTTTGATGAAGGTCCTTGTGGTGCAAGAGACTGCCTGTCTGCCCCTGCACGCTGCCCACCCTGCCATCCTGGTTTGGAAAAAGCCTTCCGTTCTCCTATTGCCTTCCAAAAGCCTCAGGGCATGAGAGAATGAGAAGTGCATGCATCTACCTTGGCTTTCAGGGCCCGTCTTGTCATCACCCTCAGGCAACCTGAGCCACCCCTTTTGAGCCTCCAGCACTTTGCACAGCCTGCTGAAAAAGCAGGAGAGTGTCAGGGAGGACACAGCAGACTCCAGCCTTCCAGAGGCCACAGAGCATCTGCAATAGGAGAGCAGATCCAAATACTCAGCAAAGCAGGAGAGCTTGTCTMTGGAATTTTAGTTCAGACGCACTGATCTACGGTGTCTTTTGTAGGGATTTCTCTGGATAAAAACTACACAACAAATAAACAGATGAACTGTTGGATTAAAAAACAGGATGCACAGAAACCAGTTGGAGGCGTGAAATGTGATCTGAGGATGCTGTCCATCAGCCTGGGAAACACCAAAGGCCTTGGCTGGACAAGGACCTTATGCCTTGCTAGCCTCTTGCCACTCTTCATTAGCCTCCATTTCTCCTTTTGAAAGTCTTCTAAATGCAAACTAAGCCAAGGTCAACAATATACCGTAACAGGAAGGTTTGATCATGCCTGTAGAGGGGAAGGCTATGAAATGGTTTCCAATGCTTCACCCCAAGCTTCGGCTGCTGGAGGAGAGGAGCGTGGTCTGGCTTGTTCCCCTCGTGCTGGGAGGGMTTTGCACACTGGGTGCAGAGGGAGGGAAGGTGGGGGGTGCTCAGCTCCCCAGTCAGCTGGACTCAGCCTCCGGCACCAAGGGCATCCCAGGATTTACTGAAAAGTGAGCAAAGGGGCCACCCAAGCTCTGTGCACGTTGCAGAGGGGCTGCAGACTGCACCGCTGGCTCCTCTTGATGCTACTGCACCCTCACTGCTGCTGCAGACGCTGTGCTGGCCCAGCGTGAGGACGGAGACGCCGCCCTGCCGTGTAACAGCCAAGGCTCTCGGCCGTCTTCCTCCTCTTCCCCTAAAAACTTACGTGGTTTTAAGGCTTGTGCCTATACATTTCACACATGGAGTTTCAAGCAGCTCTCATGACTTAATGATCCGATCTCATTTATTCACATGTGATTCACATGTGTGTAATCTTGGTTTTTAAGCACATGTAAATAACATGTGATCAATATTGAGGTCATATGATCCACATAAACCCATGTGTCCCAAACCTTCTGTTTCTCTGTCAGTTGTCCTATAGTGTGGAATAAACCACTAGATCTCTATTTTCCCCCATTATAGTGATAAAGCACAGTACTGCAGGGATCCGTCATCCCACGCCTTCGTTTTAAACTAAACTGGTTTCACATTGGTTTCCTTATGGGCTTTTTATTGGCTCTGGGGTTTCTCTAGCACTGGTGCATGCAGGCTTGTGGTGAAGGTATTGAGGAAGCTGTGTCATGGCTTCAGTTTCCCAGCRCAAGTAATTACTTTTCATTCATATGGTGACTATTGCTCAGCCAGTTACCTTGCAAAATACAGGCACTAAACAAGTCAATTAGATTTTTTTTTTCTGAGTGGGGCCAATGCCATATTACACAGGGTGCCTTATAGAAAGGTTATTCTCGGATAAATACAATTCTGC